TGGGCATACAGATGGTTGGTGGGAGTCATGCTGGTGCAGCACCAATAATTTTTCCCTAAAACAGATTCTCCTTAAACTATTTAATAGTTCAAGTAGCAAATCAAGATTCTTCATGTGATTGAAATAAAATTTTCTTGTATTAACCATGTACATTCTTGTGGCATTTCTGCTGTCAAGTGCTATAGAGTCCTTTGAGTTCACTGTCCACCATAAGCTGGTATTTCCATGGAATTCTCTTACTCTCTTCTTTTTACTTTATATTGTAAATGTTCCCTTGATGCTGAGGTTACTGATATAGTCCATGTGCTAAAATACAAACAAATCTTTATAAATTCAAAAAGATTGAAACCATTCCTTGTATCCTATTTGATTACAATGCCATAAAACTTGAAATGGACAGCATACAAATCTCTAGTAAATATACAAACTCATGGAGATTAAACAACTCACTACCGAATGATGACTGGGTCAAAGAAGAAATCAAGAACAAAATAAAACCTTCCTAGAAATAAATTATATACAGCAAAATCTCAGGGACACATTGAAGACAGTCCTATGAAGGATATTCATAGTTCTAAGTGTCTACATTATACAAAAAACAGAAACAACACCAATAAATGGCTTAATGATGCAACTAAAATAATGTAAGGAAACAAGAACAAATAAAAAATCAAATCTCATAGAAAGTCACAAATAATAAAAATGAGAGCAGAAATCAATGACATAGAACAAAAATAACATAAAGAATCAACAAATATAAGAGCTGGTTCTTTAAGAAGATAAACAAGATCTAACAGAAATAGAGGACCCAAATTAACAGAATTAGAAGTGAACAAGGAAACATTACAACTGATCAAACAAATTAAAATATTGTAAGAGGATACTTTTAAAACCTGTATTCTGTTAATCTGGAAAACCTAAAAGAAATAGATGAATTTCTAGATTCAGCCAAACCATAAATATTGAATCAAGAAGTCAACAAAAAAGCAGACCAATAGCAAATGAGATTGAAATAGTTATAAAAGGTCTTCCAGCTACAGAAAAGGTCCAGGGCCAGATGTATTCACAGCAGAATTCTAACGGACTTTCAAAAAAGATCTAGGGCCTGTCCTTCTCAAACTGATAACAAAAGAAAGAGAGAAAATAAGATAAGAAACGGAAAGAACACTACCAAACTACTTCTGTAAAGTCAGTATCACATTAATACCAAAACCCGATAAAGATACAAAATCACAACAACAAATGAAAACTACAGGCCAATAGTCCTGATGAACAAAGACTCAAAATTGCTCAGCAAAATACTTGCAAACAGGATATAAACATGCTTAAATATTATAGACCATTACCAGCTTGGCTTTATAATTGCATTGCCTGATGTTTCAACATTCACAACTCTTTAAATGTAATAAATCACATCAATGGACTTAAGTACAAAAATCACATAATCATCATAGATACAAAAAATAGATGCAATTAACAGATGCAGAAAAAGCCTTTGACATAATCTAATCATGACTTCATGATAAAAGTCCTAACATATGTAGGGCTAGAGGGAATATATCTTAACATAATAAAAGCTCCTGTGGCAGTTTGAATGAAAATACCACCAAGGGCTCCTGCATTTAAATGTTTGGTCCCCAGTGAGTGAAACTCTTTGGGAAGGATTAGGAGGTATGGCTTTTTTGGAGGAGATGTGCCTGGGGGTGGGCTTTAAGGTTTCAAAAGTGCATACCAACTACAGTTTGCTTCCTCTGCTCTCTGCCCTCCTCCTCTCCTTTCCACTCCTCTCTCCACCCCCTCCTCTTCTCCCTTCCAACCCCTGTGCCAGCTTCTTATGGATAAGGGTGTAAAGCTCTCAGCTACAGCTACAGGTCTGTCTGCTTACTGCCATGATGATGATGGATTAATCTTCTAAAGTGATAAGCAAGTTCCCAATTAAATGCTGTCTTTTATAAGACTTGCCTTGGTCATGGTGTCTCTTCAAAGCAATAGAACATTGACTAACACAGCATATACAAGAAACTCACAGCCAACATCATTCATTCTAAATGGAGAAAAGTTTGAGGCAATCTCACTGAAGTCAAGAATGAGGAAGGAATGTCTGCTATCTACACTCCCTTTTGTATTGTGCTTAGAGAACTAGCTGGGGTATAAGGAAAAGGAAAGGAATTAAAGGAATACAAATAGGAAAAGAAACTTGGTTATCTTTATTTGTAGATGATATGATACTATACATTAATGAACCCAACATTCTCAAAAATTTTCTAGAAATAATAAGCCAGTTCGTCACTGTGGCAGCATACAGAATCAATTTGCACAAATCCATAGCTCTTCTTTACAACAGCAATAGAGAAGGAGATCATGGGCACACACCCATTTACAATAACTTCAGAGACAATATAAGGAATAACCCTAACCCTAGCCCTTTAAAACTCTGAAGAATGAGATAGAAAAAGACAGTATAAAATAGAAAGATATCCCATGCTCATGGATTGGTAGAATTAATATTGTGAAAATGAACATTTTCTTTTTCAAATTCTTTTTACAGATTTAATGCAACCCCAGTCAAAATACTCATCTCATTCTTTACAGAAATAGACAAACCTTTTCAAGATTCTTATGGAGCCACAAAAGATCTGGCATAGTTCAAACAATCCTGAACAAAAAGAATGGTGCTGGCAGATTACCATTTCAGAGCTACAGTTATAAAAACACTGTGTAATGGCATAAAAACAGACATTCAGGCCCATGGAACAAAATAAAAAACAAGCAAACATGACTGTACATATTCAGGCATTTAATATTTGTCAAATATGCCAAAACCTTGCTGGAGAAAAGAGCAACTTGAACAATTGGTGCTAGGAAAACTTATCTATCACCATGTGCAAAACTGCATCCAAACACTGAACCTATTAGAAGATAAAGTGGGAAATACCCTTGAATTAATTGGTACAGGAGACTGCTCCCTGAACATTACACTAGTAGCACAAACACTGAGATCAACAATTGATAAATGGGACCGCCTGAAACTGAGATGCTTCTGTAAGGCAAAGGACACAGTCAGTAAGACAAAACTGCAGCCCACAGAATGGGAAGAGATTTTCACCAACAGCACATCTGACAGGGGGCTGATCTCCAAAATATACAAAGAACTCAAGAAGTTAGTCTCCAAAACACCAAACAATCCAATTAAAAAGTGGGGTACAGAACTAAATAGACAATTCTCAATAGAGGAATCTAAAATGGCTGAAAGTCACATAAGAAAGTGTTCAACATCCTTAGCCATCAGGGAAATGCAAATCAAAACAACTCTGAGATACTATCTTATTCCTGTTGGAATGGCTAAAATCAAAAACACCAATGATAGTTTATGCAGGTAACCCAATCACAAAAAGACAAACATAAGATGTACTCACTCATATGTGGATTTTAGACATAGATTAAGGATTACCAGCCTACAATCCACACTGCCAGAGAAGCTAGTAAACAAGGAAGACCCTAAGAGAGACATACATGGTCCCCTGGAGAAGCGGAAAGGGTCACGTTCTCCTGAGCAAATTGAGAGCATGGGAATAGGGGGGCGGTAGCTATGAGATTGAGAAGGGAAGAAGAGGAAGGATGCAGAGGTCATGAGGGAGCAGAAAGTTTGAGTCAGGTGAAGAATAGAAGAAAGGTTATATGATAGGTAGGGTTTTAGTTGGGGGGGTTGTAGGGGAGGAGGGGAGGGAGAGGGAACTGGGATTGACATGTAAAAGAATCTTGTTTCTAATTCGAATAAGAATATTATTTGAACACTTCTGGGAGGAGGGGAGGGAGAAGGGAACTGGGGTCATGTAAAACAATCTTGTTTCTAATTCAAATAAAAAATGATAAAAACTGCATCCAAAAGGATCAAAGACCTAAATATGATACTTGAAACACTGAAACAGCTAGAATGAATTTCTTATACATAGCATATCAGATACATGTGTAAGAATGGGCTTTCTGAATAGGACTCCATTTACCAAGGATTTTGGCTGATAAGTGGCAAGTGGAACTTAATCAAACTAAAAAGCTTCTGCACCACTAAAGAAGCAATCAAGCTTATGACAAGCAAGCCCAGAGAATGGGACAGAATTTCTGTCAGCTATACATGTGACAGAGGATTAATATCCAGAATATATAAAGAACTTAAAAAAAAACAAAGACAAAAAAACCCGAAGCAACAACAACCAATGAAAAAACAAAACAAAAGAAGAAATAAAAAAATCGCCCCTTTCCCCAAAAAAACCCCAAATAAAAACAAACAACCCATGCCAAAATCAAGCTGGGGAACTGAACAGAAAATTCTCAAAAGAAAACAAAAAACACTAGCTAAGAAATATATAGGCCGAAGTTTCTTTCCCACCCAGTCCCACAGCCGTTTAGTCCTAAATAAATATACAGAGGCTAATATTAATCATACACTGTTTGGCCAATTGCACAGGCTTTTTATTGGCTAGCTCTCTCTTAATTATTAATCTGTGTATCTCCATCCACCTGATCTTGGCTTACCAGTGATGCCCAGATCTCTTGCTACATAGCATCTCGTTTCTCCTTTTTCTCTTCCTAGAATTCTCTTAGTCTGGTAACCCCACCTATAATTTTTGCCTGGCTACTGGCCAATTAGCATTTTATTAAACCAATATAACAAATCTTTACAATGATCAAGAACATTATCCTACATAAGAAATATCAGGGGTCTTTTGTAGGTCAGGCAGGATTTGTTGCTGCTCTGTATTCAAGGCTGGCCTTAGAAACCCCTGATCATCTCTCAAGGCTGCCTGTGCAATGATTGGCTGCAGAGAGGGAGCGCGATTGACAGACTTCAAGACAGGCTTTGATTGGTGCCTCGGGGGCATGGTAAGCGGCTGCAAAATAGCTGCTGGCTTGGTTGCTGAGCCCTGGTAGCAACCAGGAAGAGGGGACAGTAAGGTGCAAGGCTAGGACACTGGACTCCGGACAAGAGAATACCCCAGAAAATGGCTACTTCATGGACAAGCCTGTCTAGTATTCAAAAAATAGCCTTGGGCCTTGGAATCCCAGCAAGTTCCGCAATTGTCCACATCCTATACTGCCGATACAGGGAGAGCAGAGAAGAACGATTGCCATTTGTTGGAGAAGACGATATCGAGATAGAGATGCGAATTCCCCAGGAGGCTGTGAAGCTGATCATTGGTCGACAAGGAGCCAATATTAAACAGCTGAGGAAACAGGCGGGCGCTCAGATTGACGTGGACACGGAGCATGTAGGCCATGAGCGAGTGCTGCTTATCAGTGGCTTTCCTGTTCAGGTGTGCAAGGCGAAAGCAGCAATCCATCAGATCCTGAGAGAAAACTCCGCGATGTTTGAGCAACTCTCAGTCCCCCAACGATGTGTGGACAGAATCATAGGGAGAGGTGGCGAGACAATTCTTTCTAGCTGTAAGGCTTCTGGATCCAAAATTACATGCGATAAAGAATCAGAGGGGAAGTTACTACCAATCAGTGTGAGAAGAGAAGAAGTGATGGAGCCAGGTGGAGCTGGTGAAGCAGCTTTATGGAAGAATACCGGTTCCAGCATGGGGCCAGCTGTACCCCTGGAGGTTCCTCTCCGCAAAGGTGCTGGTGATACGGTAGCTGCAGGACCAAAAGAAAGTTCCTGGGAGAAACCTAATGATGACAGTCTTGAGAATCCTGGTGCCCAGAACAGTCCAGAGAAGTCCATGATTGAAGTTCCCAGTCCTGACTTCATCTTCCATAAGGATGAGTACCTAGAAGGCTACCTGAACACCCTAACCACTTCTGGATCCAATCATTGGCTCCCACATCCTCCAACTGGATCAACTTCTCATTGAGATGACCCAGCACTATGAAAATAGTCTGCCTGAAGACTTAACTGTGCACGTAGGAGACATTGTAGCAGCTCCTTATTCTGCAGATGGTTCCTGGAATGGAGCCCAGATTCTTGGTACCCTGGAAAATGGGAACTTGGACCTCTATTTTGTGGACTTTGGAGATTGCTCACTGAAGGATCTCAGGGCTCTCAGGAGTGACTTCCTGAGCCTTCCCTTTCAAGCAATGGAATGCAGTCTGGCACGAATCGCCCCCTCAGGTGAACAGTGGGAAGAGGAAGCTCTAGATGAGTTTGAGAGACTTGCTCACTGTGCTGAGTCGAAGCCATTGGTAGCCAAGATCTCTAGCTATGTCCAGACTGGAATCTCAACTTGGCCAAAAATCCATTTATATGATACCAGCAATGGGAAGAAACTTGATATTGGGCTAGAATTAGTTCACAAAGAATTAGTTCCTGGAGATGTGGAAGAAGATGGAACTGTCCCAGATGTGTTAAAGGACATGGCCCCTGAAACAGATGCTTCTCTGGCCAGCATGCTCAATGAGGCCAAAAAGAGGCCTGAAGAGACACCACATCCCCTATCCTGCCTCAGCTTATCAGAAGAAACTATATAGTGTTTTCTTATGTAGCCCAGGCTGTCAGCCAGGCGCTGGCAGTATATTTCCTGCTTCCTCAGTGCCCAGACTGCAGGTGTGTGTTAAAGGCCTGTGTTACTGTGAAGTTTTCAGAACTACTCATCAGTTATCATTTTCATTAAATAAAATGATTTTGAGTAAAAAAAAAAATAGTTCATCCTAGCAATTAGGGAAATGAAAATGAAATAGCTGTGAAATTTCATCTTACCTAATTCAGAGTTAGGTAACTATGAGTTCATGGTTACCCGGGACTACAAGAGAGTAAATCAGTCTAAAAGAGGAACAGCTCACACATTTAATCCTAGTACTAGAGAGAATATAAGGAGCTCACTGCAGTCTCAGAGAGCAGCCTGAGGCTTGGTGGAGAGCAGTGCAGTCTGGAGATGCAATCTGAGGTTCAGTGGATCGCCCCTTCGGTCTGAGCGTTGGTAGAGGTGAGGTCTCTAGTGGCTGGCTGCTTTGCTCTTCTGATCTTCAGCTTGAACCCAATATCTATCTCTGGGTTTTTGTTTTTCATGCTACACTCATCCCAGAAACTTCTCTTTGCAATAGATGGTGACTACTATAATAACCAACCAAACTGGAGAGTTGTGGAGCTCAGTTCCAATGGATACATCTATACAACTCCTCCACACAAAGGTCAGGGAGCATTGTGGAAGAAGGGGTGAAAAGATTGCAAGTCCAGAAGATCAGGAAGTTTGCTGTGAGGTTGTGTCTCTTAGTAATGTCAGAAGCTATAACTATAAAGTCTCACCAACCTGACTGCCTAAACACAAGCTGAACAAAGACAATAATAGACGTGTCAAAGTGAATGGGGGATAGACCATGAGACCTCCACCCTACACAAAGAACTGTAGGCAACTAAGGAGTGCTGAGAGCTGGACAAATAGTGTTCCCAAGGGAAGAACACACTAGTTGGTTATCCAATACCAAATGGTCAGCCCTGGAAACACATACAAATAACATTTTACAGGCTGAGCAGATTATATTAGTAATATATGCATATATGCATGTAACAACAATTCATGATAAAAGAGGCCATGGATTTGAAAGCAATCTAAGAGGGGTATTCAGGAGCCTTTGGATGAAATAACAGGAAATGATGCAATTTTATTATAATCTCAAAAAGAAAAGAAAAATAACAAATATAAAGAAAAAAAGACCTCAAGAATAGGAAAATGTTTCCTGGCTTTCTGCTCTGATAGAATTGACCATCAGTACAAGGGATATGTACAGACTTCGGAGCAAATAAAGATTAGTTTAGCTTTACATCCTATGAGCTGTCAGGTTTGTGACATTATTTTTCTAAAACTTAAGCCAATTCATGTTACTTTTCAGCTCAAAATGGTGCCATTTTACCCCATTTGAAAATATAAACTATCATAAGTCTTTAAAAGAGAATTAAAACTTATTGGTGAGGAGCCTATAGGATGATTCCGTATGTAGTGTTAACTATCTGATTAATAGGTTCCAGGGTCACCTGCCTCTGAGGGATTGTCTTGATTAAGATAACTGATGTCCAAAAACCCATATTGTCTGTGGGCAGGAACATTTCCTGGGCAGGGACACTGGTCTGTATAAAATGAAAAAAGCAAGCTGGGGCAGAGGGTTTTCTGCTCTATTCTTCTGACTGAGAGGGTCATGTGGTCAGCTGCTTCAGGCTCTCACTGCTCTGACTTCTCCTTCATGATGGGCCTACCTTGAACTATGAGCTAAAATCATTATTTCTTTCCTGAAGTTACTTTTCTTTTGGTATCTTATCATACCAACAGAAAAGGAAACTAAAACAGATGACAAAGTTTCTACAAAGCTCATTATAGGCAACTACACATATGTGACCAATAAAGGGTGTGTGTGTGTGTGTGTGTGTGTGTGTGTGTGTGTGTGTGTGTGTGTGGAAATGAGACAGGTAAGTTAGGATTGATTAAGGTTCTGACTTTAGCATAGGTCACTTGACATTTTACAGATTAAGATTGTTTACAAAGCCACAGAAGGTCCTTTGGATTCTCTGTTACATAACATCCTTATATAAACAAAAGTTTACATAAATTAAAAAGAATGATGTGTTACTAGATATCAATCCATGTGCCTACATGCGACATTGTGCTGTACTTCTGAGCTATGCTCCCAGTTCTGACTTTGCCCTTAAAAACTATTTTGTCAGAATGGCTAAGATCAAGAAAACAAATGACAAGAAATGCTGGTGAAGATGCAGGGAAAAGGAACCCTCGTCACTGCTTGGTGGGGTTTTGAACTAGTACAACCACTTGGGTAATCAGTGTGGAAAGTTTTCAAAAACCTAACAATACATCCACCGAGCTCTACAACCCTTTGCCATATATGGAAAGGACACAATATTCTGCTACTTGCTTAGCCATGTTCATTGCTCTTCTATTCATATTAGCCAGGAAACAACTATGGGACCACCCTATTTGGCCTTTAACTGGTAAATGGAAAGTGAAAATATACATACCTAAAATGGAATACTATTCCACTGTAAAGTAAAATGAAATCATGAAATTTTTAGGTAAATGAATAGAATTAAAATGTACTATATTTTCAAAGCTACACAGAAAAGCCTTGTCTGGAACTCCACCTGGCCAAAAACTGTACTACACTGAGTTTTGTAGCATAGACCCAGACAGACAACACTACATATTCTTTCTTATTTGCAGACCTTTGATTAAATTTATGATTGGGTATATAATTAGGAGTAACTGCAGAAGACAGAAAAATATAAAGGGGCCATATGTGGTTGGGAGAAAGAACTTGAGGTGAGGATAAGACACAGATATTATGAAGGCAGAAGGGGAAAAATGGGGTCAGGGAGGAGCTGAGGGTTAAATAGGGAGGGGGATGGAAAGATAATTCAAAGGGAGAAGGAGGAAGAGGAAAATAACAGTAATGTTGGAAAAAGCCATAGGAAAATATTTTACAAATTTACTTAAAACACCTGCACATGCAAAAAATATGTGTATCTAATATTTAAAATGAAGTTATACCTCATGGGGTGTCAATACTTCCCCCATAACCATAGACTAACAAAAACTTCCATACCTGTGTGGTGGTTTGAATATGAATGACCCCCATAAACTCATAGATTTGAATACTTAGTCAAGAGGGAGTGGCATTTTCAGGAGATCTGGCCTTGTTGGAGGAAGTGTGTCACTGGGGATTGGCTTTGATGTTTCAAATGCTCAAACCAGTCCCAGAGTCTCCATATCTTCCTGCTGCTTGCCAAACCAGATGTTGAACTTGTAGTTCCTTCTTCAGCACTATGTCTGCCTGCATACTGCCATGCTTCTCACCGTGACAATCATGGACTAAACCTGTGAACTTGTAGGCCAACCCCAAATAAATGTTTTCCTTTATAAGATTTGCCATGGCCATGGTGTCCCTTTACAGCAATAAAAACCCTAAGACAGCCAGGTGTGGGAAACACCCTTCAATTTGTTGGTCAGGGGAGTCCATGGGACTCCACAAATAATATAGACTACCTTTAGTGTCTTTGGCTGCATCCCAGAACTTGGAGATAAGACCCTATTGCAGCAGACACAGGATTTGGAAGAATTGAGTAACTGGCCTAGAAGTTTCTTCCCTGAAGATTAGCTGCTATAGTATCAGAAGGTGTTATGTAAATTAACAGGGAGAAAAGCAATCAAAAGTCCTACCTAGATGTAAATCCTGCAAACCACAACAATGACTGGCCCAGGAAGATCTTCCCAATGGTGGCACTTTAATCTTTGGAGTAACCAACAGCTGTCTAATCAGACTTAAGGCCTACTCAATAGGTGGGAATTCTTGCTACTGTAAACCTAGCCAGTTTCCTGGGTTAGAGAGGTCATAGACTTTAAAAGAGAACCCACTGTTGCCATTTTCCTAAATCAATATAGTTTTTTACTATACTCTTAAAAAGGTACTCTCATACACATAGTTAAGTGCAGCTCTTGCTACTTGACTAAAGAAGTTTCTCTTTTTGCAGTAGATGGAGGCTACTATAGAGATCCACAACTGACCAAAATTCAGAGAATAAGTGACCATGGCAGCTGAGCTTCAATTGATATATATACAACACAACTCCTAAGGATCTGTGAACATCAGAGAGTAGGACACAGAAAGATTATAAGAGCCAGAGCACCAGGCACCAACTGACACATAACGTCTTCTTGATATGATATGATTGATATACCCATGGAATCTCAACAGCAGTTTGCCCAAATAGGACCTGCATAATATCCACACCATTTGAAATGCTAAAGAGGGTGGGAGAAATTTACAAGGTCCCACCCACTCTTAGTTGAAGAGCTAAGGGCAATCAATGGTTGCTAAGAGAGGGAGATTAATTTTCTCTAGGAACAAGTTCCCGTTTAGGTTATCTAATCCCAAGTGGTCAGCTCTAAAGGTGTTCATACGAACAACACTAAGTGCACTCAGTATGCTATATAATATAATGCAATATAATATATTCATGTATATAAATGTAACAATAGTAATTGAAGAAGAGGTCTGTTGTGGGATATTTGTACACTGTGAAAGTGTATTGCTGTGATTGGGGTAATAAAAGCTGAATGACCAATAGCTAGAAAGAGGTTAAGGTAGGATTTCCAGGGACACAGAGGACTCTGGGAAGAAGGGCAAAGTCCCAGCCAGATGGAAAAGAAACAGGAGGTGCAAGATGAAAGACAGATAATGCCACCTGACAGAACACAGATTAATATAAATGGGTTAATTTAAGTTATAAGAGCTATTTGATTCAAGTCTAAGTTAAAGGCCAGCTTTCATAATTAATAAGAAGCCTCCATGTTGTTATTTGGGGCTGGCAGCAGAAAAGAAAGGCCATTGACAGAGGACATATATTTTTGAGAGAGTGGGAGGGCACAGGAGGAATTGGAGATGGGAGATGAAGGTAAATATATAACACCCACATATGAAATCTTTTAAAAAATTAATTCAAAAAAGATTTGTGCTCGAAAGTGGTGGTGCACGCCTTTAATCCCAGCACTCGGGAGGCAGAGGCAGGTGGATCTCTGTGAGTTCGAGACCAGCCTGGTCTACAAGAGCTAGTTCCAGGACAGCCTCCAAAGCCACAGAGAAATCCTGTCTCAAAACTCTCCCTCCCCTCCAGGAAAAAAAAAAAAAAAGATTTGTAAAGAAGGCAGTTACCACAGTCCAGTAACCATTTGCAGGCTTTGAGTCAGTCCTGTGTGCACACAAAAGTTCCCCCAAAGAAACTACTTCTAGTAACCAGAAAGCTAAGAATATCATCAGGGCCAAAGAAGAGACTTTCGTGCTTCGCTGTAACCAACCCACTTAATGTTTCCACCAAAGGTCTTAATTTTTGTCTTTCTTTATTCTGTTACTATAAAACTTCATGAAACTATCACTGTATGGAACATGGAACTTGAGGTAACCACGAGGATTTTTTTCCTGCTTCACTTGCCAGTTGTAACAGGTATAGTTTGATGGTGCATTCTCTATCTTAACCAAATAAGTGCTTGTACCTAAAGTTGGCAAAGTATTTAAGACTTGCCCCATGAGTTTATTTTTGTAAACTTCTTCCTTCCATACTTGTTGGAGGGGGTTCTGTCATTTATCCAACACGTTATTAAACAAAATATTCAGTTTAATTCATTATTTGAGTGTGTGTGTTTCTGTGTGTGACGTGCTTGTATGAAGGCATGCACATATGCCACGTGCCCATGTGGAGGTACAATGAGTCCATTCTTCCTGTCTTAGAATTGCAGGGTGGAATTCTCTTCCTCAGGCTTTCCTGGCAAGCATTTTTACCCTGCTGAAGGCTCTCTCTGAACCTAAAGGACTGGATTTTCCTGATCTCTGCACTCAGCACCCTGTATCACAGTTGTTTAAACTAGATCTCTTTAGACTCCCTCCGTGAGCTGTTTTCTTGTCCACCTCTATGTATTGGGCCTCCAGCGCAGGTCTGATATCTTAACAAGTTCAACCAATGCTTCAGCAATTTCTGGAATCAGGTGGCAGCCGAGCCTGGTTGTGGAAAAACAAAAGACAGTGTCTGCGAAGCAAGTGACAGTGGACACTGCTGTCAGCAGCAATTGTGAGGTAAAGGGGCCTACTTCAAAGGTGATGCACATTGTGGGGTCCAAAGGTGAGGTCCTAGCACAGCCCGACAAAAGGGTGTTGGCATAAACCTTACACCGCCAACCTTTTGCTGTCCTTTCCTTGCGGTTTAACTGTCCTTTCCATCAAGCTGGGTCAGGGTGAGCTGCCCACCTCACCTGTAGAAACCACAGTGACAATGTCTCCGGAGGGTAAAAACTTCAGGACGTTCCCGGTGCTGGGCTCATCCGTGTGCATCCCCCAGCACCCCCAACACGGCGTCCTTTAAAAACCATTCCCAGAACTAATGGAGATGAGACAAGGCGGTCTCCTCCGGGAGAGGAGACACCTGGCAGTCTTCCCCCCTGGC